AACAAATCTTAATTTTTCGTCCGTTTTTTATTCCCACCTTCCTTCCCTGGATACATTCATAACTGAAACGGTATTAATCCATTACTTTTGTCTCATCGTTGATTTACGGAACTCTTTTTATTTCTTGATTTTCCTCTTTTATTTTCCACGTTTCGAAAATGTAACACATTCAGTTTACACATTCATTCACGCTCCTATATGTCTTTTCTTTTTTTCTTCAATTCCTATAGATATCTGTATCAGGGTTGCCATTCTATCTGCTTTTTCAAGTTTTTTTAAATTCAAGATTAAACAGCCACTATCGTTTTTAATATAATATCTTGACAATAACTCATCTTAATAAGGTGCTCTTATATGATCAAGTTAATTCATTTATTGCAAGCGAAAGTGGGAAAGATGTAATAGAAAAGAGAAAAAAAGAGAAGAATGATAGATGATAGTGATAATAGTGACGAAGAAGAAAAAGAGGAGGACGTGCAGAAGGAAGAAAAGTAGAATTTCATTCGATCTGATCAATTATGCGCTATATTATTCCATTTAAATTCAAAGACATTACTAAACATGTACAAATTAATTTTTTTCCTTATTCGATTCTTTGTGGCAGTGCGTACGTATGTGGAGAGTGTTTTTTCTCAAATGAAACGTTTGTTCACCGATAGCCGTAATCGTATGCCAACAGAATTCATTTCACTCTAAAAGTAAATTCGACTCATACTGTTTGTGTCCCTACAAAAAATTTGCTTTTCGCTTCTTCTTTTCAAAACTTTTTTGGACTTTTACAGTTGATAACCCTGACCTGCATACCGAATTAGCCAGCTAGCTCTTCTACTAGGATGAATTCGCGTATGTTCTTTTTGCATTTTATTTCTTCTATAATTATTGAACAGCAATATGCCTAAAACTCTTAGATGTCTCAGACTAAAGAGAAGCATATATTGAAGATTTTGGGATGTACCCACATTCTACGCGATCTTTCGTTCAGAAAATATGATAAAAATATGAATGCACCTACAGTTCAAAACTTATCAGAAAAACTAAGTGTTATCATATTTTAAACTAAGTTTTCTCATATTTTCTGAACGAAAGATCGTGTAGAATGTGGGTATCTTCCACATATGCTTCTCTTTAGTCTGAGACATCTAAGAGTGCTAGGCATGTCGCTGTTCAATAATTATAGAAGAAATAAAATGCAAAAAGAACGTACGCGAATTCATCCTAGTAGAAGAGCTAGCTGGCCAATTCAGTATGCAAGTGTTACCCATAGATAAATGCGAACCTGGTTGTTCTGTCCTCAATAATATATGATTATTGAATAGTTAGAGTATTCAATATAATCTATTTGGACACTAGATTATACACGAGAGAAGAATTGTCGGATGTTTAACAGGTGTTTTTTTTATTAGGTGATTTTATTTCAACATTTTCATTCCAAAAGTTAAATAGCGAAAAACATGAATGTAGTCTAACAGACTTATTAAGGATCATAATGATCATTGACATTAAAATTCCTATAAGGCTAATAATCATTAAAAATTTCTCTTACCTCAGGTGATCTTTTTCTATGATGAAGATAAAAATGAAACAGATAGATATGGAATAATGTTTTGTGGAAAATAATATGATTTTTCACATTTTTCTTTTTTTGCTTTTCCGAAGTTGAGTATTCCAATTTAGACGAAGGCAGTTTTTTTTTACAGTTTTCTCTTTTTCTTCTTCCGCTCTAGAAATGAGTAAATGGAATTAGTATAGATATATTACACAGCCTTTTGAACTTTTACTTAATTATATAGTTGTGTATTTGATGTATTCTTTTCTACCTGTATACTTTAGTTCACATTGGTCTTAATAAAAATAAAAAAATATAGAAATTGCCCTTCTTAATGTAATTCTTTTTTTCTAATCTGTAGAGACTCTTGTATCACTTTATCTTGTATCATTTTATTGCCCTATGTCCTGCCTACACGTTATTATTGAGTTATTGCTAAGATTAACAAATGGAGAATCCGGACGCCATCGAAAGTGTCATGTCGAAATATAGTCCAGCATATAGAAGGCATCTTGATAATCAGTAGAAATATCCTGATTCAAATTCGGCTATATTAGGATAAAAATTATTAGTATATATTTGCATTTGAATCTCAACACGGTAAACTCTGTTCATCTTGCGATAGTTTCGATTATCCTGATGTAGTTCGATAACATTTTACTATTGTTTATCGCAACACTGGAAATATTCAGAGCAGCAGTGCTGACTGATTAAAATATCACGACGTGAAAAAGATTATATTTTATCAAGATACCGCTTTTGTCGCACTATCTTTCCTACATATGGTGCTGAAATTTCTAAAGCAATAAACGGCGATACTATGATTTTGCGCTATAACGGAATGCGTAATGGAGGTTGAACACTATTCTCAACTTTTGTTCTCACGACTACAACCAACTGATAAAATCGGTCATATAACGAACAGGCCGATAATGAAACCTCTTTGCATCCAAGAATATAATCAAAATTGGGGTTCGATGGATAAGTCAGAGATACTAGTTATGTATACGCTCATGTATACGCAAAACAATCAAGTGGTACAATAAATTATTTTTCCATTTGTTCAATATATCCATGCTGAACGCATACATATTGTACAAGAGAAAGAAGCAAGTAAATATTGAGTTCACTGATTTTCGCCTGCAAGTGATTCGACAAATCTTTGACAAATATGGAAGTCAACGAGATTCAAGAAATGGCCGATCTTCTATCGATAATCTACTGAGACTGACAACTCGTACCTTTCTATCACTTTTTAGCGAAGGACGATGTGTTGTATGCAGCAGGACTGTCAAGCGACCAAAGAAAAGGTCTGACACTAGATACGAATGTGCAGATTGCAATGTTGCCTTGTGCATCACAGATTGTTTTCGAGAGTATCATACTTTGAAAGTATATTAATAAACTCGAATAAAGGATAGAATTAATTATCTTTTCAAAAGTTTATTCTTATATCGGGTGCGGCATAAAGAATGATACCGTCAGTATTTCGTTAATATCTCGATGAGTTTTCATCGTAGAGATTTAAGCTTAGTCTGAAAAGATTCTTCATTAAATTCTCTACAAAACTATAAGAAAAGAGCACGCACAATAAGTAACTGTGAATTTATAGGCTGTCAACACTGCTATGTTTCAAACGGGAGCACTTTCCAACCAGGAAAACTCCAGTTTTCATCCAGTCACATTACGACCTCTCGAAAAAATGATCCAATCGAGCTCAAATTTTTACTACAGATACTTCATACACTATCTCAGGTTAATTTTTTTTCTTTTCGAAAAATATGCTTTTCTTCCCGAGATATACGAAAAATGCTGCAAAACACTCGGGAAGGAAAGCATATTTTTCGAAAAGAAAAAAATTAACCTGAGATAGTGTATGAAGTATCTGTAGTAAAAATTTGAGCTCGATCGGATCATTTTTTCGAGAGGTCGTAATGTGACTGGATGAAAACTGGAGTTTTCCAGAAAACCCGTATAAGAACACCTCAGAAAATTCTGGGCAAAAATACATGGATTTTCTTTTTCGATGTTCTATCACCGCTATAAATTTGAGCTCGAGCGGACGGGTGCTCCGCATTTGGCAACAAAGTGAAAAAAGAGAGGGATACCCTTAAATGTATGACACATACCCTTACTGCTATTATGCTCTCGGCTTGTCAAGTCTTCAGAGATCTATGGAAATTGTGTACAGTGTAATAGCTGATAATGTGACGGTTATTTTTCAGCGTAGATAATCAATCTTAGTCGCTGCAGACACTTGCATAATTAAAATACCATTGGATGCGCTTATTTTGCTTTTGACATCCAAACGGTCATAAATAGATATAGATAGAGAGATATATTGACCTATCTTACTACCTAGACTGTAATTATGAATGTGTTGAATATGGTCCAAATCTCTAAGCGTTTTTTACTACTTTTCGTTCTTGTATATGTGTGAAAGATCTTGGATAGAATGAAACGCACTTTCCGCCATTTGTTACTGAGGACGGTTGGAAATACTTTGCGTCAAAAGAAATATTTTATTCGTCATCAGAAAGAAAAACGGCAAAGAACGCCTTGTAAAAATGTGAAAGCCTTTTTTTACAAAGCTACGAAGGCAGAATATGTTTTAAAGTAGAAACCCTTTTCTATTCGATTTTTAAGTCGGTAAGCGGTTATTTATAATGCACTACTCCGCAATCTACATACTGATAAAAGACAAATATCTACCCCTGATATTCCTCTAAAACGCCGGTCCTCGTCAACGAAAAGAAAAGAAACATGAACAATTCCAAGCTAAATACATGCAAATCGCTCCTACCTAGCTTGGTTTGTAATCAGGACCGTCGATTTCCTATGAAAAGTGTGTTTTCGTTTATTAGAAATAATTTTTTTGCAAAAAAAAATGTCGTAGTGGAAGCGGTGGTACAGCTGATTGTAGCGAACTTTTTGCATGAGGCCCAGGTCTTTGGACAAAGGTTCAAGACTCATTTTGTAGAGAATTGAAAGCTCTACAAAATGTGATCAAATCTAGACTGTGACAACCTAACGGTCGAGAGATAATTACGTTTTACGCAGAGAATTTCACTTTTCAAAATCATGACTTTTCGCTTCATGTGAATTATAAAATTTCAGTTTCACTTCTGAAAAATGAAAAAGTGGCTCAGTGAATGCAGTTTTATATGGTCTTTCAAATGAGGTTTTGCTCGAATAGAATGAACAAAATTTGATGGAGTTATTTGCAAAATACTAGAAACAGTGCTTTTTCGAGAAATCTTTGAACGACTTCACGGGGCTTTTCTGTAACTCAGTCAAAATAAGGTGTAAAGGTAAAATAATTTTTTCATTCTCATAGTTTCATGTGTAGAATCGAAGCCTCAATAAACAGTATAGGTTGTAAATTTTCAAGTGACCGTTTTATGACGACATGTTCGATCCACTCACGAATCCTCTCTTAATAATTGAAACAATTTTATGTTGTTGGTTCATACAACTCAGCACTATTTAGATTAACACTGCCACTCCATCCACCAGTAACCAATACTTTTCCATTTGTTAAAACGGATGATATGGGACCCTGTCGTCCGTAATTCATGCTATAAGTAGTTGTCCAAGTTCCTGTTGATAGATCATACAACTCAGCACTATTAAGAGCAACACCATCCCATCCACCAATAACTAATACTTTTTCATTTGTTAATAAGGATGCTACATGGCCATATCGTACATGATTCGTGGAAGCAGCTAATGTCCAAGTTCCTGTCAATGGATCATACAATTCAGCACTATTTAGATAACCGCCATTTTCTCCGCCACTAACTAACACTTTTCCATCTCTAAATACAGATATTGTGTGGCTATGTCGTGCATAAGTCATGGTTGAAGTTAATGTCCAAGTTCTTGCTGTTGGATCATACAATTCAGCACTATTTAAGTAAGCATTGCCATCATACCCACCAGTAACTAATACTTTCCCATTTGTCAGTGCTGATGCGTGGCCCTGTCGTGCATGATTCATAGTTGAAGTTAATGTCCACGTTCCTGCTGATGGATCATACAATTCAGCACTATCAAGATAAACAGCACCAATTCTCCCACCAGTAACTAACACTTTTTCACTTGGTAATACGGATGCTGTATGCCATTGTCGTGAATAATTCATGGTATCAGTAATTGTCCAACTTTCTGTTGATGGGTCATATAATTCAGCACTATTCAGATAAAAGCCACCAGTAACTAGCACTTTTCCATTTGTTAATATGGATGATGTGTGACCCTGTCGTGCATCATTCATGGCAGCAGTTAATGTCCAAATTTCTGTTGATGGATCATACAACTCAGCACTATTTAGAAAACCATTATTGTATCCACCAGTAATCAACACTTTTTCATTTGCTAATAACGATGCTCTGTGTGATACTCGCGCATAATTCATGTTACCAGTATTAGACCATCCTAGACGAAAACATTTGAATTTATTCATTCTCTGAGTATTGTTTAAACCTAAACGTCCTTTAATCATGGGCGGAAATTTTAGGATTTTGTAAAAAATATAAAACCGTTTCTTCCCTTTTTCCTGGGAACCTCCATAAGTTTTAAATCTGTTGTAAAAAATCGCTCATGATATATTATCACAGTAGGTTTGGCATCTTTGCTGAACTGCATGCGTTAATATCACTTTTTCGAATCCGGATATAGCCCTACAATATGTCCTCTCAAGCCTTGTGATGTCAAAAAGTTCTAATTAGAAATTTTGAACTTATGCTTTCACCTAAAATGTTGGGTTTTGATCGAGTAAAATCTCCTTCGCTTTAAAGACGTTCAAACGCCTAGAAAATGCCTTACGACCCAAAAAATTGTTATAAGGGGTGACATATCTTCCGTTCATAAAACTTTCAAAGCATTCTCTCTTTGATATGTCGATTCTGTATATTTGGGTCTTTTCTAACCATATATCGCAGTCAAGATTGCAAAAGAAAATCTTTTCGTATGCCTTCAAGACTACAGCACGGCATGAGAAGAAATTCGCTGTCAGTGAAGTTCCGAGGTCATCTCTAAATTTGTTTCACTACAGTAGTACCAAATTTACTAAGAACTGATACGAAACTGTATTTATAGATCATACATCATTGTTATCTTGAAATCATCTTTTTTTTCCTGTTAACATTAACATTCCATTTTAACAAGAATGGAAAAGAAGAAATAACATTCCATTTTATGTAGAAAAAGTAAATAGTTTTTGATCAACATATACCCTGTTCTGATCTCATGGTTCTGCTTACTGCATGATTATATCACTAAAAAAGACTTTTTTCGGCACATTTTGGATAGTTGTCTCTGGAATAAAGTAATTTGTGTGGAGCTCTAGAATTCGATACACTCCCATGAAATTTGTATTTAAACCCTCAATATCATACGAAGAGGAAACATGGATTTTGTTCTATAGATGTCAACAAAGTGAAGTCAATTTCGATAATGACGAAAATAGGTAACATGAGGATTACTATTACTTATTTATTTCAATGATAAAAAAAAAATCATTCATGACAAGATCATTGTTTCTTTTAATCTAATCTTTAGCTAACCTCAGAGTACTGTTGGATGCAAAACAGCTACATATATGTAGTTTAGAAGAGGCACTTAGGAAAGTTACTGAACATTACTCTAAAGCTTACCTGGCTGCTGAGTGATGGTCGTAGATGCTGTTGGTAAAGATGATGATGATGTCGACGTTGTTGCTGTAAATATTGCTGTTGATGTTGTTATTGCTGATGTTGTTGATGTTACTAATAATGTCGGTGTCGATGTTGTTGTCATTGACGTTGTTGTCGATGTTGATATTGACGTCGGTGAGTGTGAAGCTGTCAATGTTGTCGTCGATGATATAAATGATGTTAATGTCAATGCTGTTATCGATGTTATTAGTAATGTTGATGTTGGTGTTGTGGTCGTTAATTGTGCCACTGTTGATGTTGTTGTTAATGGTGGTGGTGATGATCGTGTTACGATAGTAGTGGTAGTGATTGCTGGCTTCTTCTGTCGAAGAATCACGAATTTTAACAATAGACCGAGTGTAATTCCAAAAATTATTAAAATGATGATAAAGATGCTAATAATTGCAATTCGACGGCGATGCCACCATTTACGTGGTCGATTCTTTCCGGTAATATGCTCACTGAAAACCCGGTTCGTAGGCATGGTATATCCTAAAGGAAATTTAAATTAAAAAAAGAACAAATTATTGGTCGAAACTATTTTATACTTGTATGTCACTCTCATAAGAGTAACAGCAGATAAGTAACCTTATCTCCAGGGCAAAATGGTATTGCTATAATATTATGTTTATATGATACATTTTGCATGTCAATAGGATAGCGCAAACATACTTCACTTCTAATTTTTCCCTCTGTGAGGAACTTATATTTCCTCTAAGTATAAGTCCTTGAGTTGATTGTTTGCGTGCGTTAAGATACGTAGTATCAATCTTTTATTCGACTACTCTTTATCATAAACTACAAAAACTAAACTTGAACAAAAGAAAAACACTTAATATATATATTCACTATTGCATCATAAAAGATAAGAACCACAAAAGAACAAAGCAAAAAAAGAACAAAACAGACAACGGACAGAACGAAACAAAAGAGAGCCGTCCTACGGAAAGATGCACATACCAGAGGTTGTGACAAAGAATCGTCATACCCTCGTCAAATGTCCTTTTCTTAGTGCTATCTATATATTATTTTTAGCGTGTTCAGACATATTCGGGAGTTTTCCACTCCAGAAAATACTTAACACAATTTCAATCAATGAAAATCACTACCGCTACTATCGTAACACGATCATCACCACCACCATTAACAACAACATCAACAGTGGCACAATTAACGACCACAACACCAACATCAACATTACTAATAACATCGATAACAGCATTGACATTAACATCATTTATATCATCGACGACAACATTGACAGCTTCACACTCACCGACGTCAATATCAACATCGACAACAACGTCAATGACAACAACATCGACACCGACATTATTAGTAACATCAACAACATCAGCAATAACAACATCAACAGCAATATTTACAGCAACAACGTCGACATCATCATCATCTTTACCAACAGCATCTACGACCATCACTCAGCAGCCAGGTAAGCTTTAGAGTAATGTTCAGTAACTTTCCTAAGTGCCTCTTCTAAACTACATAAACGCACGTATACAATCAACTCAAGGACCTATAATTAGAGGAAATATAGGTTCGTCACACACCTCTTCTGGTTTCCATCGGATTTTCTCTTTCAAAGCCTGATCGAATTTGTCGGTTAGATAACGAATTTATACGGGATTCAAACGAGTCTGAGTTCTTTCCTTGGGTAAAGTCCATACACGCGGTAGCCGTTTCGATGAAACAGAGTGATTCTGTGATCCGGCTTCAAGCAGTATGGATATCACTGGACGTTCCCCAATGTCTTCCAATTTGGAGTGATACGTCTGCATCGCATACTCTCGCATTGAATGCCGTTCTGGTCGTCGCTGATGCTTTCCATTCGCAATGTGATTGATTAGGTTTCCATTTCTGGGGAATGCCGCAGTGTATCCTCCTGGACATTCATACAATTTGTTAGGAGACACATCTTCTCCAACTTCAGTAATGTCTGTGGTGAGACGTCGCTTTTAAGGAACACTTTGCTCTTGAACTCCTGGACTTCAGGAGTCCGCTATTTTCCCCTTGTGATGAACACACTTGTGAGCATAATCGGAGTCTTCTGCAACTGATAGTGCATAATTAGCACAGTGGTTCGGGCAAGGGGGAAAAAGCGGACTCCTGAAGTCCAGAAGTCCAAGAGTAAAGTGTTCTTTTTTGGAAATCACTTCCCAAAAATGAACACTTTTATTCTTTTTTGGGCAGTGATTCCCAAAAAAGAACACTTTGCTCCTGGACTTCAGGAGTCCATGGGAGTCCAGGAGTCCGCTTTTTCCCGCTTGGGTTCGGGACTACAGAGGATTTATTAACATGAACCTTGTAGTCCGACTTCAGATACATTCGAGCACGCTTTAGATGGTCGAAAATCGATCGTTTACTGACGACGTCAAGTCCTAATTCATCGACGAGCAAAAATAAATCGTTGAAAGCTAGCCCGGCATTTGCAGCAAAATAATTGCCCTGTAAACTGTGTCTCATAGATGCTTTACAAGCCTCAAGTAATGACAATAGACTTGTACGTCCAAGTGGCGGGAAGCCACGGTTATCCGCAAGTGTATAGGCGTAATATTGATCCACTATTCTCGATGGAAGCAGATTTCTGATAATATTCGGAATGAACAGTTCTGTCCCGTTTGATAATTTCAAACGCTGATCTCCAAACGGCAAATCAGTACAGATGTGTGCAGAGAGTACGAAATCAATAAAATGTTCCACCTGCTAGTCCTCGAATCTCTGTAACACTGACTGATTACGTTCAATACGTGAGCCAATGCCGTATCGTAGGCCATGACGTCTTGCTGCCGTAAATCGATAGAGAGTGAGTTGAGCCCAGGAATAAATGACCGCAGCAGTTTAAAATTAATTTTTGATGCTACAACCGACAGTATTTCTCTACGTGTAGTCCAGTTATCGGCATTATTATATACTTCCACAATGCCTTCCATAATGCTTAGAAATTTTGTATCTAACACGCAGTTATTATGGTCATTGCCACAGTTGAATAAATCACGTGTGACTTCCTTTATATCATTTGGTGCAAGAAAAGATGTCACCGTTTACAAAATAGATCGTATGTTCCACAGATAATTCTTTTTCAAACGTAGTACAAGACTCATAATCTGGTGTGACTTACACTTGCTTGTTGCTTCCACTGAGTTCTAAAAATTTCGTTGGAGCTCTCTTTTCTCGTTCCTGCGCACGATGTATCCGTTCTTCCTCTTCGTCATGCACGTGTCCAGAGGCTTCAGGCACAAATTCGTCGTCGTTACTACCGCTTCCAGATGATTCGTCGATGTAGAGAAGTGTGAGAAAAAGCGTCTTACAGACGAGCATGTAGTAGATTCCATGACCGCTGTATAAGCTTTCAGTCAGCTGAATGTACATGAATAAATCTTAAACATTTATTATTATAAATGTTTATAATTATAAAGCCTATTGTCACCACTGAAAAGTACTTGTAGCAAGAAAAGCAACAGGAGTACTCATTGTTAAATCTGTTTAACTTTTTAAAAGCATTGTGTTCTATAACACATCTTTTTATCTTATCTGTTGTAGCTGTTAAATAAGCTCTTAATATGATTGAAACTGGTTTACTACAAGACACAGCAACAACAAATTATGGTAGCATGGATGCAAATAAGAAAACAAGATTCAGACCATTGAAAGAGTAAGTTTCAAGCTTGAGGGCATAATCAATCTGTTAATGCGATCCCGTTTTATAAACAATTTGATGAACAATAGAATTTATAATCGGACTGCAGAAAATTTTCTGCCACTGAAAAGGTTTTGAATTTTCAATTCCGAATGGTGAATCTGAACTGGCAGATCATACTCTACAAAACTACACAAGTCTTAGGCTTTCATCAAGCCAAATGGCAAGGCTTTTCCTGAGACTTTTGGAAATTCATTATTTGGAATTGAAAATCCAAAATCTTTTTTGTGGCACAAAATTTTCTGTAAAAGTTTTGAAGAAGCGTACCACCTAGGTGGTATTTTTGATTTGATTTTTTATAGTCTAATAATTCCAACATTTTTCTTTCAAAACTGAATACCGCACGGATTCAGCTCTTTTTGAAACCTTATTGAAAAATAATAGACTCCACCATATTTTGAAATGAATAGTAATCCAAAATGAAATGAACATTTTTGAAACATACATTTTGAATCCGCGAGCCTAAGGCAAAACAGTGTGTTATAGCTCATAGTTTGGTTAATGAATAGCTACAACAAAATACTGAAAAACTTATGCTCTGAGTAGTTAGTTTTTGGAGAAAAACAAAAAGAAAACATGACTTAAACATTTCCATAGCAAATCAGGCTTATTTTTTGGGGGCGGTTTGGAGAAAAACAGCATACATATTCTGATTCCTTTTTGCATACACATTTCAAATCTGATGTTTGTTTTCTGGTGGAACGTCTAGTTTTTGAAAAAGAAGCGAAAAACCCTTTTTACGTTGAAATTAGGTATTTTTCTCCTTCTCCTTTTCTCTCTCACTTTCTCTCTCTCGTTCTCTTTCTTTCTGTTCGTTTCACCATTTTCATGTTGAACGGAGAGAATGAGAAAGAGAATATACACCTATATTTTCTACAGCTATTTTCTTCAAACATTGACACAGAAAACGAGTTTCGCAACTATAAACGAAAACAAATTGCTTTCAGCATAATGCAAGCATAAATGTTCCCATTGCACAGCTTGACATATGGGCGCATTTGGAAAATACTCAGCGCTTGATCCGGCGAGAGATGCCAGAACATTGAATCAACAACAGCAGGAAATTGGAAAATCGAAATTGGGCTTTGGATATCAGTGCGAACCTCTTTTCCGTAGAAAAGTACAGTAAGAAAATATAACCATCACAGATTTATTGATTTTGTTATTATAGTAAGCATTATCGAGTCTATTATACTTGCGTCCGGTTTGGAAGAAACCGGTATATGTGTATTCTGATTCAGTTTCTTACGCAGATTCTAAATTCGGTGTCTGTTTTTAGGTACAAAGTCTAGTTTTCGAGAAATAGAGGAAAAACTGGTTTTATATGAAACTTAACGCCTTTTATTGCTTTCTCTTTTTTTTTCGTTCGGAAAAATCATTTCTTTTTACACTTTAACTTAAATACATCAAAGATGACGTTTGTATGTTTCTTTCTTTTGATCCAGGTTCGTTTTGATCGTTTTTGTTTCTGCATACTCATATTCTGTACGCAAAGAATATCTTTTCTTTTGAAAGTATAAATGCGAAAGACTTGTTTTTTTATATTAAATTTTATGTTTTATCGAATGTTTCATAATTATATACACGAAGAAGATAGTGCTCTGCGTATCTGAATTATTTTATCCGTAACTTTACTAGTGATGTAAATATATTTATTAAGATATTTCGCCTTAGAGGTAATACTGCGACTGTTCTATAGATGTCTACAGGCTGATTTATTTCTGATACGTTGTCTTGCGTTTGTAGGGATAGATATTTGTATAGTTTTAGTTTGTTCAATTCACAGAAAATACAGGAAATTACAACGAGTATCATATCGTATGTAATTCTTTGTGTATATAACTGTATATTTGATAAAATATAAAACTTGTCTTTTCGCATTTATTGTTTCGAAAGAAACGATATCCCAGGTGAAACACGTCTTGTAAGACCTTGCAAGATCTGATGCTTTCTTGTGAAATCTTGTAATAAGGTCTTACGATATGATCATACAAGACCTTATTATAAGATAATATAAGATCTTATGGAATCTTGTAACTTCTTGTTATAAGATCCCCCAAGATCTGGTTATGAGAAGTGACAAGGTCTTGTAAGACCTTATGACAAGAATTCATATGATCTTGTAAGATCTTACAAAATCTTGTACCAGACATTGTTGACTTTTATATATTTTTTTGTCACAAGACTATATAAGATCTTACAAGATCATATGAATTCTTGTCATAAGATCTTACAAGATCTCATAAGATCGATGACTTATCTCTACCATATAAATTTTACGACGTAATACAGTATATTCGTGCAAAAAAGAGTAACTTCCTGCGGCTTCGTTTATTGAAAAATTAAAAGATTAAAAGTAACTCTGAATGTTTCCCAGTTATGATCGTTCAATTCATTCAGAATACGGGTGATATTGTCTCTGAACGATCGAATCGATCGTGCGCCCAAATAGTTTTGCATTCGATTAAGCAGAGTTTGTTGTTCATCGATTATGACAATCTGGATATGCATTGTTTCACGACGCATATTATCCAATATTTTTATCTATGATGATGGCTTTTTTTTAAGAGAAGATATAATGTGTTGCTTGTGATAAGAAGAAATTCCGCCGGCAACACGAAAAAAACTACGTAGCATACAATAGGGAACATTCTAACCTATTAGTTTTATAAGTTATTTGCTATTTCAATGAGATTTAAAGTGCCACATAGAGAGCGACATCAATTGTGTGACTCACCATTGGGAAGAGATCAGCCAATGTATCAAACGTCAAGCGAAAAATGAGTCATTGAATAAGAGTCATTTCAATAAATAAAACCATCTGATAAAGAGAAAAACAAACAATCTGGTCAGAATGACAAATTCTGTTTATTTTCTGAAGAAAACGAACATTTTAGCTACAAACTATTTCGAAATTCGATTTCAATTAAAACCTGTCATAGAATTGTTTTTGTCAGGGTCTCAAAATAATTTCTTTGAACAACTTGGCTGCGAAAACCCGCAAAAGAAAATTTTCTTACAAATCGGCAGGAAAATCGAGTCGAAACTCTTTAATGAGATTTTAGCCTTATGTGGCATCATCAGCTGTTTCAATCGTCATGACAGTCTTCTACTTCTTTTCAGATGTGGGTGACGCACACTAATTTTAATAATTTAGATTGTTAGCTGATGTGGAAACTATGCACAAAGATAATAAAAATATTCGTAGTGCATTTTCCATTAATAGATTCTGCATTTTGACTCGTATTGCGATAGAAGAATTTCATGCATTGTCTGGATTGTTTTCTATTCCGAAAAATCTTATACTCGGAGTAGACTTTTCATTATTCATTACTTTTTTTTTCTTTGATAGCCGTCTCTGATACGGGTATGTGTATTGATAGTGCATTTTGTCTGTTGATGCAAGCTGTTTATTGGATCTTAGACAACGTCATGATTGTTTTTAAACCGGATGATGAAATGTTTTAGATAAAAGAATAAGTATTAAAAATGGCTCAGTATCAAACCACTGGTAATTATAAGTTTAAAGTGACGGATACTTTGAGATCTGTATTTATTTTACTTTTCTATTTAGGTTACACAAATTGTCGCGAAATTTTAGACTCTCTTGCTCGCTTATCTCAAACAATCGATACACAGGGTGAGTTGATTTAGCTTACTTATGCTACATTCTTATAATATGAATCTATTTTTCTTTTACAGCAAAACAGTTATCCGACAAAGAGAGGTTAATCGGCAGTCCATCTGACAGTCCTGCATTTCGAAATAGTTTGTACGTTGATTAACTTTGAACCAAATTCTTTGATTTCTAATATTTTCGCTTAATTTCTTAGAGCAAATGATGAAAAACGATTACATGACACTGTACAACAGACAACGACATTATTTAAAAAGCTAACTACGGAAGTTGGATCAAGAAGGAGTGACTTATCGCAAGTACGTTATACATATTTTTGAGTTCAACATCTGGCTTTCTTTCGATTTTGAATACTAGAATGTGTTGTTTCTAGGAAGAAAAGATTCAAATGACACAAGTTCAAAAGGCTATGGAACAAGCGCTGAAAAAATACCAACAAATTCTAAAAGTATGTGTCAGAAAGGATCATTCTGCTTTGAACTCGTCCCATCTCATCTTTCTTTAATTAGACACTCAATGAGAAACGTCAACAGTTTCAAGCAGCCAAACAAGATACACTTATCGACTTTGAACAAGTGACAGAGAATCATCTCTCCAAGTTTTGTAGAAAACATTTTGTTTTTCTTGATTACAGGACAACACCGATGATGTGAATAAAAGACTGCAAATGCGGTGAGCTTTCCCTCATCTTCTCGACATGAACATGCGAAGAATGAGACATATCTGTCTTGGTCGATTTAGATCGCAAATGCAAGTGCAGAAAGATCGTTTAAGAGATCAAGTCGAACAACAATATGTTATTGAAGAAGCGGTTGAGAATGTTCAAGTAAGCATAATCGAAGCTAAGAATCGCGCAAGACTTAAGACAGTTCTCTGCTCTAGTTGGGACCCATGCGAAGGGAGAGGCAGAAGATAACGTACTAGCAGTTTGTGTCTACTCTCGTTCCTCTTCTCAAAAAGTTTCACGTACAGCACTATCGGTGCTTACCAGTGCCGGAATACCATCGAAGGTGAGCACTGCAGATATACTTAGGGTATACCAAAAGTAATGACGCCAGTATCTTATTCCTTACAAGAATGCCTCAACAAATTTTCTTTTTTCATGTGGTCGTAGAGGAGAAGATGCTTTATTTTTCTGTACTATTTGATCACTGTTCAACTAA